AATACAGTGAGATTTTAATGATGTAAGTGATATACAGTGTCACACATAAAGTCAGCATCAAATGGGATTTTTTTTGTTCATCTCTTCAAGCAACTTTTGATATCTCCATTAGGTTGTGCTTTGAAAATGATGCCAAATGACATGTATATGACCGATCAAGTGATTTTTATTCCCTGTCCTATTTGACATTTTTTCCAAAAAATGTTCAGAAAAGCAGTTATTGTTCGAAATTTCGAAAATCGGTAAAGAGAAAAGATGATTGTTTTTTAATTTTTTACCTATTCACCAATTTTTAGCTCTCTAGTACAAATTTAGTTTTTTACAGTTTTTAGAAAATTTGACATTTGCCGATTTCTCAAGTTTAGCCAAACCTCAACGAAGTTGGTGCTTTATGCTTAACTTATCTTTCCAACTCATTTTCATCAATTACAATTCTAAATACAACTTATTTCGCAAAAATTTAAAACACCAGAAAAAAATATGCCAAAAATGATGCAGAGTTGATACAGTGTTCAAAAACAGATGAATATTTCACTTTATTTCTACTTTTTGCGAAATAGCTTGATACATAAGCATAATCAAAAAACAATATCAATGAAAAGTCAATAATTTATTCTTTATTGCACTTTTCAAACAGTTAAACTTTGATTTACTAATTACTGATTTACTATTTACTATTATTTTTTCAAATTTTCATCACTCATCATATAACAATGAGAACAAATATTAAATAACATTAACATCTAGACTAACAAATTACACTAAATTAAGTGTTGGAAATGGCCTCCTTTGGCTTCAATACAACCGTCTAGCCGCCGCATCATTGAATTTCGCACTCTTCTGAAAATACCTAGCGTATTTTTCATTATGTCACATGAATTAATATTTTATGGGTGTGAGCCTGTTCTCTCAATCCAGCAATTATGGTAGTTTTCATCTAAAAATTGCCGTGACACTACACTAAAGTTTGGTGGAGCACCATCGTGCATGTACCACATACGGAATCTTTCCATGACTGGAATTTCTTCTAAAAGTCCAGGTAAAACAAATTCTAAAAACCTTCGGTATTCTTCTCCATTGAGTCTAGGTGGAAGGAAGTGAGGCCGATAATTCCAACCCAAATATTAAAAGAAAACTGTTCTTTAAAATTATTTTCTATCAAGGCGTGTGGACTGTTTTCGGTCCAAATGTGATTGTTGTGGAAGTTAATAATTGAATTGCGAGAAAAACAAGTTTCATCTGTAAACAACATTCGACTTGGGAAACCTGGATTTCTTCTTATTTTACCACGTAACCAATTAGAAAAAGCTAGTCTTACAGGCAAATCTCTTGGGCAATAGAGCTTGCACACATCACATATGATAGGGATATAACTGCTGGTCTCTTAAAATCTGCCACACTGTAACATGGCAGTTCTTCAGCTATTTTCCGAGAACTGGTATGAGGATTTACTTCAATCTCATTTAAAACAGCTTCTTCAAACAGAACTGTTCGTACCGTTGCAGGCCTCCCAATGACAACCGTCGATCTTTTAAAGCTGCCTGTTTCAGGAAGTCTTGCATGGAGACGTACAAAAGTTCTTCTATTAGGCAGTACACGCTGAAGAAATCTTTCATGGTAAATGCGTCTTGCAGCATTCGAGTTTCCGTGAGCCATTCCTTAACAGAAATGCATATCTGCCATTTCACTGTTAGTAAATTGAACCATGTTTTACAAAAATGGTTCGAAAAATAACCACTAAACACACTTTTTATGACAATTATAAATAGAAAGCTCATAAAGTTGACAACAACTGTCAAGTTGTTTATTAAATGCTGCAATCATTTTCTGAAGCAACCCTTGATTATTATTTATGTTATTTTCAACCTAACGTTGTTTAACCGATTTTAGTGTCGTAAAAACATTGAGAATTGAGAAAAATACAAAAAAAATTCATGTAGTTGGGATTGACTTGAAAAAATATGCTTTCAGCTTTCCTTGCCTCTTTATGTAATTGTGAAAAAATATTGCATATACCCAATTCTGTTCTGAAATGTTTTACTTAGAATTTCTAGTTTTCTTGATACTCAAAACTTTTTTCACGATTTATTTTGAGAACCCTATCCTGATTCACAATGAAATATTCAAATAACATTCTTACTTCTAGGATAATTTCAAAATAAATTTCATATTTGCTTATTTGCCACAACACTTTTTTTTGCCATAGATCTGTAGTGAATGTAGCATTGATATAATTTGATATCATTCTCAAGTTGTATTTTGTTTTTTGGAAAATCTTAGAATTTCCCAGAACAATTTTTCTAATTGCTTTTTCTTTGGCTCCTTTCAGCTTCAACGTCCTTGTATATTCGACCTATCATGTGGTGTTGAGCTATTAATACCTGGATAATTAATGTCACTTAGAAACACAGGATTTGAATCTTATGTATTTATATCTGTTTTCTGTTACCATTTGTAGAAGGCATGCGATATTTGAACTTTGTCTGTTTGTCTTTTTAAAATCTGTTTTTCCGTTAATCAGCTGTCGCCCCCATACGAACGACAATTCTCAGAAATTGAGAAACATGTGCGAGCTAAGGATTAACGAGGTCTTACCTTTCAACGTGTGATTCCTAACACTCCTTCTGTTTCAAATATTGTGCTGAACAGCGAAATCTTTCAAAAACAAGTAGATGACCTGCATACAATAATTCACTTCAAGCTTTTAATTTTATCAGTTTTAAGAATTAAATATCAAAGAAATGGCGTAAGAAGGTCAAAGATCATCAGCAACGTAATCATTGCGTTAGAAGTTCAAGTATATTCTTTTCTTGAAGTATATTTCACTATCAATATCCTGTTAGGATCAATTTAATCAACCAATAAACAAACTTATGAGATGTT